GCCAAAATGCATTGTAATTTAATCATATTCTTATTATTATATTTCTAATATATATACTGGGAGAACAAATAGATTTCTTATTTGGGCCAAAAATGGGCTCGTAAATTTAGAAGTAACATATAAATATTTATCTTGATTAAGTTGCCTTGTAAATTCTTCTAGATTAAAATAATGACATTTATAAATAAATAGGCATTTATTCAGTCTGTAAAATGATGCATGCCTTCACTTTGGACTGGATGACACTTGTTGCTGTAGATTATACAAAACTTACATTGCTGAAAAGTTAGTACTTGCATAAAGGAATAATGCCATGAAATGCAAACGGTATTCCTTCAAGATACCTAAAATGCAAAAAAATACGCCTTTTGGGATTGTAAAGCTAAAATATTTGTAAGAAAGGCAACACAGCCTGCTGCTAGATATTCAAGGAGATGTGGGTTTACAACTATAGCATGTCCTTTGTTAAACTAAAAAAAGTAAAACTGAAAAAAAATGTGCAAAACTATTTTTTCTCTCTTTTGTAAGGAGATGCTGGATATAACCCTGAGATGGTATGTGAGGTGGGATTCAAAACTGTTTGAAAAAGATGGCTGAGGGGGAAGTGATAGCAGTTATTCAGTACTGAAATTATTAAAATAAGAGAAAACATCCCTGCAAGTCTCACACTCTTACCTAGAAACCTTGGTCCTAGATAAGCAGACATGTGTGGTGAGCATACAGGAAGAAGTATCTCCAGCTGTTTGCAGTCCTGAGGGCATGGATGGACAAACAGACAGCCAGATTAATCCTGTATGTAGGGGAAACACTGTTCTCTGAATTTCACTTTTACCAAGTACTATGAGAGCCAGAGAGAACAGGGCAGTGTAATGCCCTCCTCAGTAGGTACAACAAGATAAGCCTGACACTAGCCTTGCAGTTCTGCCATCAAACAATTGCACTGCTTTCAGATTATTCAGGCATCCTTGACCTAATTGTGAACGCATTAAGGGGAAAGCAGGGAGAGAAAGAATGCAAAACAGTGCTTATAATGAGTAGGCTTTGTGAGATTGCCCTGAGATTGCCAATTAGCTGATTTAAGGAAGACTCACTAATGAGAAGGGAGGTATCAGCATTAACAACTGGCACAAGCATAGGCTAGCCAGTGCAGACAGGGAACTCAAGAGAGGCATTTTAAAGATGTAACATGTGGCAGAGAATACTCAGGAGGTGTGCACAGAGCTGGAGACTGATCTTTATACAATCCGAATTATTTAGTGCTAATAATTTGTAAATATTTTTAGTGTGCTGTTACACACAAATATGAATTTGTAAAGCTCTATCTGAATAATACATTTGGGTTACTATTCACTTCATCAGCTTCTATTTCCAAGCACTAGTGAAAGAAGAGATAACAAATCTGGCTGCAAAGGAGAACCAAGAAGAAAATGTTCAACAAGTCACTATTATGTAAAATACAGATGTTCTATTTCAGAAAAAGCAAATACCCTAAGTGTATCCAGATGAATAAAATCCCAATCTCAGTACTTAATAAGCACTACAACAAATACTTAATCTTTCTATAATATGGACACCCTTCTCCAGAAGGCATATATGGGAATAATAATTCATTGTCAGCTCCTGTGGGCAATTATCTATTTTTTTTTTTTTAATTTCCTCACTCAAAGTTTTCAACCTTACTCAGATTACAGTAGGGTCATTTTTAGTAGAAGCCTAAAATTACCTCAACTTTGAATGAAATTGATTGTGAGCATACCCCATTAATGTAATTCAAATGCACTGGTGAATGCAGTAGTACAGAAATTGATTTTTAATTTCGCCTTCTAAAATGAAAAAGAAAAATTAAAAAGTGGAAAACATTTCATGGCCTCTTTCTACACAAGCAAGCAAACTCCCAGTGTGGATAATAAAATTTGCTGGATCAATATTAAAATTTCATGCAAAATATATTTTAAGGATTTCTTAATCCTTTGATACTTTCTAACCTTCCAGTCATGATTTCAACACTACATTACATCTCCTGCGTACATTAATATGAAATTTTTGCCTGCTTCATTTATATTCCTAAGACAGTGTATGCTAATAAAAGAGGTTACTGTATAATTCAAAAGTTATCTTATCTTTTACTGTGCATATGTAACAATCCTCCCCTCCTTTGCACTGGAGGCCTGTACAAAACCCTAGTGCCCCAGAGTCTTAGCAATGGCACCAGATATACCAATGAAGAATCTTCCTACTTTGCTGACCTTAATCACCTTAGAACTGTATTTCTCCAGCATTTACTCTCTCCAGACTCACTCTAATATACATAAAAGCTGTTGGCTCTCATCACTTTTTATATTCCAAGTATATCCCTATTCTAAAATCTCAGTGCAAGAATTTTCTTCCCTGCTCAGTCAGGGTTGCCTTGAACAAAGAGCCCTACATTTCAAGCCTTGGAAAAGTAATATCTGGGCAGGTTAGGAGGAAGAATTGCTGGCACTTCCAGCATGATGTCCTAATTTCCTGGAGTGGGGAATGAGATATTAGAAGTCCAGTCTGGTGCCCTTGAATGTCTGAAAGCCCTCAGTGGACAGATGTCCTCCATGTGAGTTGCTCTGTGAGACCACCCAATTCTCCCTGAATGCAGACTCAATCCCATTCATGCTTTTGGTATGCACTCCATGGATATTCACCTATGCTTGGGCTCAAGTGCCATGCAGGAGCAATGACTGTTCTTACTCACTCAACTGTCCAAGACCTTGCATAAGGATGACTCCAGGCTGATGTAACAAAAGGGGATGAACCTCAGCTGAACCTCCTTTGGGTGGACAAATGCAACTACAATTCCCAGCCTTGCTGGTCACTGGGCATGGTGGCTGAGCTGATGGGTGTTGAAGGGTAACAGGTTTGGGGAAGTGTAACAGTTTAGCAATGCTAAAAGCCTATGAACATGAAGAAAGCAATTGGGTGCTATGCGTAATGTTCAAATATACATATATCCATATGCCCAGTTTTTCTACAAATAAAAATTTAGACAAGATCTTTAGTAAAATTCTGGAAAGCACAACTTTTTAAAATTGAAGTTTCCAACAATTTCAGTACTCAATTGTAGGGAAAATTTTGAAAATAGGACTACACTGAACAGTCTAGTGAATGATGAAAATATAGGTGTTCTTACATTTTTCTACTGCTACCATAATTTTTTGTACTGCTACCACAGATTCCAGTTTTCACCTGGAACTTCAGTTCTTGCTACTGTTAGCCAATTAAGTACCTTCCAAAACCCTTGATATCACTGTTTGTTTGAAAGACCATAGGATTTTAGTTTGGGGGTTTACAAGTTTTAACTGGCAGTTTGTGGGAACCTTGCATGGCAAAATACTTTCTATATAGTAAATTCATCCATTTATCTTACAGCCATAAGTCCATGAAGGTCATTCACAACATAAAAAGTAATGGATGGCATAAAAATTAATGAAATTTGTTTAAATTAATAAATGAGTATTATCCATGTTTCTAAAATTAACATAACATAAGCATATTAACTATTAAGAGAGCTAAGAATCTGGATATGTAATGCAGCTACTACAATGAGCAAAGAAAAAGTTCCCACAACACAAAAATTCAGCTCCTACACAATATGCTTCAAATTGTTATCCCTGAAAATTCAGTGGGATGAAAGAATAAAAGGGGGTCCAAATTGTTTCATGGATACAAGGATAATGGTTGGACTGACATTCCTCTGAAGACAGTGTGTTAATCAAGCAACAGCCTAACAAGAGCAATTGCTACCAGATTTCTGCATTTACAGCCACGGACCAGTCTGGCTACAAGTTATATCTTCCAAATAATCAGGGACTATATATATATATATGATATATAACTGACAGCAACAGAAAAACCATCTCATAGGGCAAGTTCACACATCACTAAGCCATCCCAATAATAAGCCACACCTCTGTTTTAGAGAAAATTCCAACCATGGATGATAACAGACTGCCTAAATCATGCTTGGTATCAAACCCAATGAGGTGTATTTCTTAGGAGACATTTCCACAACTGAACGGTCAGTCACCTTATAAATTTAGGATAGCATACTATAGAGACAAAGTGTTTTTGCACCCTCATTGAGATTAAACCTATATCACTCTCTTCATTAGCAAAATCATGAGCTGGAAAAAATTCTGACAATGTTAATTATAATTATCACAGAATCCCAGTTAAACTGCACATAATATTTCCATGATTAAATCCAGTTAACTCCTCCTCCTCCTGCTGTATCTTTCTGTAATGCAGTTATCAGTTTCAGTTATCAAAGAGACAATGTGGTGTGATGGTTACACAGTGCTGAGCTGGAGATCTGGGAGTTCAAGGTTCTAGTCCTCACTCAGCCATGAAGTTCACTGGGTGACTAACCAGTCTCAGCCAAACCTCCTTCACAGGGTTGTTGTTTTCAGGATAAAATAGAGAAGATGAGAACCTTGAAACCCATCTTGCAAGAGAAAGGAGGGATATAAATGCCATGCTGTTACCAAAAACTGATGTTTACATTTTGCTAACACTTTTTGTACTACCATCTATTTTTATTTATTTATTTAGTAAACTTCTATGCCGTCCCATTCGCCGAAGCCTCATATTTAATCCTGTACATAGAATAGCAGAGAGCAACGCACTTTGAGTCAGGTTATCGTTCACTCCTGATCTCAGTGATATCAATGGGCAATGATAATTCTTAAGTCTGATCAACAAAGAAAAACAGAGAGCATTTTATACCAACTGTCATATTGCTTTTCAACATTTTATTATGATCATCATGATATAGCACTGTAACTTCACCAATAAAACACCAATCTCTTCAAAGAAACAACAGGTCAATGAATAGAGGAAAAATGGCATGTATGAGAATATTCTTCATGTACACATAAACATGTTATTTCATGCTATTGTTCCCCCACATGACATCTGGGCAACACTACTCCTATGGTGAAATAGATTACAAAATATGCAAAGCCACTCACCTGTTTTTGGGTTCTACAAATGGAGAGGATCCATCTGTATCAGGATCCAAAATACGATCTATTTCATTTTGTGCTTTTTCATACATCTTTTTTCTGTCTGCCAAGCCTTTATTGTTATCAACTTGAGGGAAATCGTAATAGCCTTTCCGCTTGGCTTTCAGGCGCAATTTGTTGCGATAGTGCTCTATATCAGACTTCTGCTTCAATGCTTTGTTAATCTGACAATAAACAAAAATACATGTTACAAGATAGAAATACATCAAATCACACTACCATTTTTTCAAGTGAGCGATCCTGTGAAACAATGAACAAAAATGTACTCTTCATTCTTCTGCACTGAAAGCGATGTTCAGTTGGGAACTTCTTTCAATTGTTTCTACAGCCTTCAGTAGTTTATTTTCAGTAATTGAAAGAATGGGTTGAAATGCTTCATATATGAGTACATATTGCAATTTACTTAATTTCCAGATATTGACAGGTCCTAACCTGGATAGTATTGTCTAATCCATAGCTTATACTGGTGAAAATGGAGCACGGGTCTGACTTATCTATGCCAACTTTAACATGGCATCAAAAAGACAGTAATAACTAATTCTAAACTTAGCAACTCTCCTTATTCATACATGGACTTAATGGCTGAATAAAAGAAGCACTGTAAATAAGTAACAACACATACGGGGTGTCTCTGGGCCCACTAACCAAAAAGACCTACTACTACTTCCCCCAGTAGCGAGACACACCCATCCAAGGTGGATAGGTTACTCTTTATCCCCTATAGAAAAGAATCTTATTATGGTAAAAACTATGATAATATCTCCTAATCTTCCTTTCATGGGAAAGCAGGAGATATCAGATACTCTAGTCTGAAAGCCTTGCCTGAAAATTGTTGGTGCAACTGGATTAGGAAACCACCTGCCTTGCACCATGAAACTGTCACTGTACATTCCCCAGTCCAGTATGCTGATATGCATTGTAACCTGGGCCTGGAAACGCCATTAAAAGAGATTATGATATCCAGAAACAGATAACTCCAAGTCAATCACCATTCATGGATGTGGTCATACCCTGTGTTAGTAGCTGACCAAGATAACACCGAGTTGCTAGAACCATCCAGAATGAAATCAAGCCCACATATCTAGTCCTATACTGGCAGTCATATGGCCTTAAATTTCCCTCCTGACTCCCATGCATTCTCATAGATAATATAAACTAAGCGAAAGAAATCTATCCCAGAAGGCAGGTGATATATGGGCAGTAGGTTTGATGATGCAGTTGTATTAAATATGTATGCTCCATTCTTTTGTAATCAGCGTTGGCATTTTCTCTTTCACCCTCAAGGTGGTATGGAACACAACGGTCATTCACTGGTATACTAGTAACTAATGAGCACTACATTGCATGGAAACCTGAGGGCTCTGTCTCCCATTTGAAAATTAATTCAAATGGAATAGTTAAGTAAGTACGGGTTAATGAAAATTCCCTGCAGATCCAGGTAAGCCAAAGACTTTGGAAAACTTGGAACAGATACACCCTGTATTAATAGCAATTGTTTTCCTAATCCATGTGAGTTATCTCTGGAGTTTCTACAGTAGATAGTATTCTCCCCAGAGAGGTATCTGATTAATAACCTGAATCGTGAACTGGCTGGGATACCCATTCAGTTTCCTGAGATCCAATGGGGTCTGGATTTCTCAGAGATCTTCAACTTGTGATCTACAACAATTCAACTTCTGATCTACAACAATTATAAGATCCTTCTCACTTGCAATATTGCTCAGCCAAGTTTCTCCCATCTTGTAACTGTGCATTTGGTTCCCCTTTTCCTCAATGCAGACCTTGGCATTTGTCCCCATTGAAATTCATACTGTTGCTTTCAGCCCAGCTCTCCAGCCTGTCAAGATCACTTTGAATTTTTTCTCTACCTTCCAAGGTATTTGCTATCCCGCCCAGCTTTGTGTCATCTGTAAATTTAATCAGCATTCCCTGCACCTCTTTGTCCAAGTCATTAATACAAATGTCGAAGAGCACTGGTCCCAGGATGGAGCCCTGTGTGGCCCCACTTAGTCTGAAAAGGTGCCATTAAGAACCTCTTTCTGAGTCTGATTCTGTAGCCAACTGTAGATTCACCTGCCAGATCCATCTAGACCACTTTTAGATAGTTCGCTGATCAGAATGTCTTGGGGCTCTTTATCAAAAGCTTTGCTGAAGTCAAGATATAATGTGTCCACAGCATTTCCATAGTCCACAAGAGAGATTATGCAATTAGTCTGTCAAATTTTGGTCTTGATACATTCATGCTGGCTTCTAGTAATTAGTCAATTGTCTTCAAGGTGCTTACAGACTGACTTCTTTATTACCTGCTCCACAATTTTCCAAGGGATTGATGTCGGACTAACTTGCCTGTAGTTCCCAGGATCCTCCTTTTCAGCCTCTTTGAGGATAAGGACAACTTTAGCCTTCTTCCAGTTATCTGGACATCATAATTATTGCCCTTCCATTAGCAGAAGTGACCAAAGCTCTGTATAGCCATTTTTACTGGTTCATGCCCAAGGCTGCAGACAAGGTGCTTGCCTAAAGTGCTTGTGGTTGCCAGCCAACTTCAGGAACTTATGAAAGTACTTATATAGTCCCATTTCAATCAGACTTCAGACCTAGTTTGGAAAGGAAATTGCCTTTGTCACCATGCAGTGTGACCTTTGCCAATAGAAGGTGATCCTGTTGATTCTCTAGGACATCTCAGCAGCTTTTGATAACATCAACCACAGTATTCTTTTGGGTTGGGAGTTGGAGGCACTGTACTCTAGTGGATCTGTTGAAACCTGGATGGCAGATTCCAGAAGGTGGTGCCAGGAAATTATTGCTCTGTGCTTTGACAGCTGCATGGGAGCCAAAGCAGTGAGACAGAGGTATTGTTGGTGTATGGTTCACCTGCCCAGCTAAGTGATACTTATCCTGTTCTATAATGGGTTGCACTCCCCATAATGGTTTCACTTCATAGTTGGGGAGTGTTCTTAGTTCCACCATTGTCACTAGAGGCACAGGCAGTCTTAGTGGCACAGAATAGCTCTTATTCGCTTCGATAAGTGATGGTGAGACCGAGTGCCCAAACTGCAACCCAAAACCCGTTTATTTATCACAAAGTGCCAACACTGCAATAAAACCTGAATACTGGGGTTTTAGTTTAGAAAAGACAACTCACAGCCAGTCCAAGAAAATATATATATATATATATATATATATATCCATCCATCCATCCATCCATCCATCCATCCATCCATCCATCCTTGACAGCGCACTGACTGGCCATGCAAAAGCTCGGACAAGTCGCAGCTAATGAGTCATCACCTGGCACTGCTACTCTTTTCTGAGCATGCACATGGCCCCTGTGTGCACTGTTATCCGATGCTCGGCTGCTGGGTGACTTGGCTCGCATGCAGAGAGGGCTCTGCATGCCCACTGCGGCACACGTGCCATAGGCTCACCACCACTAGCTTAGACTGATACCAACCATGTCCTTATCTGGTCAGAAATAGCCTCCCCAGAGTTATCCATACTCTGGTAACCTCTCCTCTGTTGCTAAGTTTTGCTTTGGTTTTTATTTTCATGAAGTAAATTCCAAACTATGGCCTTTTGCATTTTCCTTGAAAAGCCCCCTTTGGACCCTCATGACTTTTAGATAGTTTGCTAAATTTTACACAGTCTGGTCCTCCTATTCTAGTAGCTTCAGAGAAATTGATGAGAAATTCTTCACCTTAAAGGCAGCTTGCTTATCTCTTTTCACGGCTTTTCCTGATTCCACTGAAATCAGAAAACAAGTTCCTTACCAGAAAACACATTGCACCTTCTGTTTTTTGAAGTGGGAAGAATCTGGTACCAGTTGCACCAACATTGTTGTTGTTGTTAGTTGCGAAGTCGTGTCTGACCCATCAGGACCCCATGGACAACATTCCTCCAGGCCTTCCTGTCCTCCTCCATCCCTTGGAGTCTACTTAAGCTCACGCCGACTGCTTCAGTGACTCCATCTAGCCACCTCATTCTCTGCTGTCCCCTTCTTCTTTTGCCGTCAATTGTCCCCAGCATGAGGCTCTTCTCCAGTGAGTCCTTCCTTCTCATTAGGTGGCCGAAGTATTTGAGTTTCATCTTTAGGATCTGGCCTTCTAAAGAGCAGTCAGGGTTGATCTCCTCTAAGACAGACCGGTTTGATCAACTTGCAGTCCAAGGGACTCTCAGGAGTCTTCTCCAGCACCACAATTCAAAGGCTTCAGTTCTTTGGCACTCAGCCTTCCTTATGGTTCAACTTTCACAGCCATACATTGCAACTGGGAAAACCATAGCCTTGACTATACGCATTTTTGTTGGCAGGGTGATGTGTCTGCTTTTTAGTATGCTGTCTAGATTTGCCATAGCTTTCCTCCCCAAGAGCAAGTGTCTTTTAATTTCTTGGCTGCCGTCCCTGTCTGCGGTGATCTTGGAACCCAGGAAAACAAAATTGGTGGGAATACAGAGCCCTGCTGGATTTTGCCCTGGGTGTGAGGGTATTTTCTTGTAATTCCTCAATTTTGTAGGAAATTGAGCAAAACCTGGTATAACTAACAAGAAGTGATTCCACTGAATGAACCTATGATGGGGAGTAGACATCTCTATTCCTTCCAGGCCCTACACATTTACTCTAGCTGTCTCAGGCTATACCACTAACATCCCCAAGTGACTGGAAAAGAACCTACCTGTAACACCAATCATACTCTTGAGCTCAGTCTCATGACCCTGTCCTCGGGCAATGAAAGAGACAGCTGCACTGGGGTAGATCAAGTTTGTGGCTTCAGCAGTAGGTTTCTGGAGAATCTACTCCTGCTCCTACCTCCCCAAGACCCTCCTGAGATGACCTCCAAAGAGTTTGTTGATAATGCAGTGCCCTATTTATTAGGAGATGGGCAAGACCAAGACTGGAAGGCGCTGCTTTTCCCACAACCTGGAAGTTTAATTAAATAAACCTTACCTATTGGATGGAATGAAAGAAAGCAACTGTTCATCCACTATAGGAAACTGTTCCTTTTACTCACATGAAACTAGTCCTTTCATTGTATCTTTGGAAATAATTTTTGTAAAAAAATTATCTAAGCACCCCCTTGTGTCAAAATGACCAAACAGCTCTTTATGTAAAAGCTGCATATTTTTTTGTAAACTGGGCCTATTACATAGGATATTTCAGTATCATCCAAGTGTTTGGGTTTTTTTTCCTAGCTGATCTTCATTGTGAACAGAAAAATATAAAACGTACATAAATTTAAATATAGGCAAAGGAATTAAAACCAATTCTGTTTCACTTGGCAGAGGGAAACTGGTAAGGTTTTTTTTTTTTTGCATTCAGCTACTACATTTTTGCACAACTACTATGCCTACAGGTAATCTTTGCATCAGCAATACAAAACGGAAAATAAAACACCTCCCGGGGGGTTTCAATCCTTCCTGCCATAAGAACCTAAGAAAAGCCATGCTGAATCGGACCAATGGCCCGTCCAGTGCAGCACTCCATTCAAGTGACAAACCAGCTGCCCACAGAATCCCTCAACCAGGATAAGTGGAAGACTTCTGGCTGCTCAAGCTCTTTGGCAACTATGCGTGTGGCAAATGCAGATGTGCTGCCTGACTATCAATACATAGCCAGCAAGACTAGTAGCCACTGATAGCCTCTTCATCCATGAATTTGTCCAATCCCTTTTTAAAGCCATCCAAATTGGTGGCCATCATCCCTTCTCATGGCAGTGAAATCTATAGTCTAACTGTATGTTGCATAAGGAAATACATCCTTTTATCTGCCCCAGACCTCCCACCAATCAGCTTCATGGGATGACCCTGAGTCTGAGTGTTGTGGGAGAGGGAGAAAAATGCCACATTCTCTACTTCCTCCAGACCATGCAAAATTTTATACACTTTCCTTACTCACCCTTTTTCCTAAGCTAAACAGTCCTAGTTGCTTTAGCTGCTCAAGCCTCTTGATCATTTTTGTTGCCCTTCTCTGTACTTTTTCCAACTCAATAATGTTCTTTTTCAGGTAGGACAACCAGAGTTGTGCAGAATATTCTAAGTGTAGAATACAAGGGGAGTACAATCTTGGAACTTCTATTTTCTTTTTCATTCCTAATTATGCCTAACATGGAGCCTGCCTTTTTCACAGCAGCTACATGCTGGGCTGACATTTTCATTGACCTATCCCCATCTTCAGCTGTCTCAAAAAGCAACAAAACACAGAGGTTCAGTACGAGGCAGCATTTGTCCTTCAAATCTTTTCTTGTTAAGAGAGTGTAGCCAAAGCCTGCAAGTTCTATAGCTGAAGCTTTCCCTCCTCTTAGACAGCTCCACAGGCAAGCGTTTAGAGTGCCAGAAATCACAAAGAACCCTGGTCCCCACAGGTCCTAAGCTTTTCCATCAGACTGGCCTGCTGGCCAGGTGTCCAACACGCCTCTCCCTGAGCATTTGCTTTAGAAACTTGCTAATCCACAGATAAGCACACAGAATCAGTTATTGAATATATTCTTACCTCCCCGTTGAGAACAGCAGTTTCTTGACTCCTGTCCAAAGCTGGGTGTGCAGGAGGCAGAGCTACGGGCTTTATGGCGATCAACTGTACAGATCCAGAGGATGTGTCAAAGGGATCAATGGCAGACTTAGCAACATTATCAAAGAGCATGCTTCCCTCTTCTTCATCACTTATGGGCACTAAAACACAGTAGAATTAAGTGAGCGTATAGATTTGGCATTTTAATTTTTGAGCAGCGAGGGAAAAAAGTGAAAAAGGATATACAAAATCGATACTTTCTCTATAGTATGGAGACTGTTTCCCCTATAACTGAAATAGCCACAGTTAGTTTTCAAAGATAGAGAATCTCTTTTGGGTTTTATTTTAAAATCAAGGAGAATTTGTTTTAAAACACAGTGCACTGTGGAGAATACTGATAAATCACAAAAAGGAAAATATTAAACCAAATGCAAAAAAAATGCTGTCTTGTGAGAATCAATTTTCAGGCATTTTCCACCTGTTGGAAGAAATAAGGAAATAAATAGCAGGATCCTAAGTCTTATTTTTAATTCATGTACAGTATGAGCAGTACAATAGATTTTTCCACAGTAACTGTTACCTTGCTTCAAAATATTTGCTCCATACTATTTGTTGTGGGGCTGGCACAAGATCATACTTCAGCACAGCCCAAAAACTGGCATAATCAAGTCTTAGGCCTGATTTGGAAGATCATAAATAAATCTTTCTTTCTTCCCATATATCCCCCTTCTCTTTCACACAAAAAAGAGAGAAAGAAGATTTTTGCTTTAGTACAAACCACAGATGACTATTACATAGAAACTTGGAGAACTATGGTTCATCCTAACCACAGTCAGTAAAAACAAACCAGGATCAAACAGCCATAATATCATGATGATTTGATATCATGATTTGTTAAGTTAACCATGATTAGAATATAGAACACTGTTCTACATATTCATAAATAACAGGAAACTGTAGTTTGCCTGTAAGTAAAACTGGAAGCTTATTGTTTTCTCTCAAACTTGATGGAAAACATAGTGGTGTACCCAAGTTCATGCAGGCTTGTCCAAGATTTTCTAAATCATGGCTTAAATCAGGCTGCCCCAACTTAATGTCCTCCCATTGCTTTAGACTACAATCAGCATTCCTAACCATTGGCCTCGCCAATTGGGACTAACAGACATTGAAATAAAAAATAACTGAAGGGCACCAGCTTGGGGAATACTGGTCTAGATTACTGTCTAAGTCAGCATTAGAAGCAGGCCTAAGTTTCAGCAAGTTTTCACTGATTTCAATTATCAGAGCAGCCACCTAACAATAAAGCTTAACACACTGAGCATAAAATGACCTTTGTCTAATTCACTAAATCCAGGCTTAGCCATGAGAGTAAACTGGAAACATCTATTTCCTATCTAGGCCTTCCTGCTGTGAAATATCCCATTCAGATGTTTTATATTTCAGAAGTCTCTTTCTTTAATGATATATGGTTGACTTGGAGTATAGGTCCCATCCACCAAAAAGTAAAGAAGAGGTAGGAATGTAAATGAGTATAAGCAGAAACCCATCATTTTCCCCTTTTTTTCTCCAAATAGAAAACATTCCCAGAATGAGGATTTAGCATGTACATAGATCATTGGAAAGCTAATTGCTAAGGACCACTGCTTGTTATATACTCATACTAATTCCACCTCTTTTCTCTTGATTCAAAAATTTGTTCAGCCAGAGAGAAGAATGGGAAACAATCCTGCACATGTATACTATTTGAAGCCAAGTCTCTCTTTTTATATAGTCTCATAAAAATCTTGTTCATCTCCAGCTGGGGAAGCAGAGGCAACAAAAACCAGGAAGAGATGCCTGATTGACAACATGTGAGGTCTGATGGCAGTCATCACTAAGATTGATTTACTGGGAGGAGAGGGAATTCACTTGGGGTCATAAGTACACACATAGACAACTACTAATACACCAGTAATTGTACCTGTTCCTTATGTAGCCAGTGGCTGCATAAAGTTTAAAGATGACAAGTTACTTAGCATGCAGATCAGATATCCTAGGAATGCTTTCCAATAATTTAATTATATTCTTTATTCTTAAATTAGTAACCATTGAAAGATAAATCAGATACTACCTTTCTCAGGTTTACTTAACAAACAGGGAGTCTATGAAAGATAAGCCTACTTTCTCCGTATATTTAAATGATTGCACAGGAGAGGGTAAACCAAATTGAGCAGAGATGCTATCAAGCCAGTTTAATTAATGACTCTATGAAACTGAGTGATATTGGTGCTATCTCCAGTCAGATACAAGAAGAAATCATTTTCTAGTAGAAGTCTGCAGATTTTATTGCTAAAGATTTATTTCCTCTGAAAATATAGGCGTTTTAATTACTGTAAGAATTACAATGTAGAGTCAATATACCCTATCAGGAAATAAATTACTTCTGTTTCTACCAGTATAGTACTAGATGTCTGACTGGACTATCTTTCATAGAGATGCTTAAAATACAAACCTTATGTAAGGACCTATTTTCTGAGTTTCTGCAATATACTAATATCATGTATCTGACTTGCTGGAAAATAAAAAGGTTACGTCAGGCATCTAAATAATTTCTTCAGGCTTGAAAAATTGTGCATGAATCAGTTCTCTCAGAAATGATTCAGGTATTTTATGAAACAGAGATATTAGATTAATTATCTCATACGTAACCATTGCTCATCAACATCCTATCAACTGAGAAGGTATTTCTGTTGGATTATGAGCTTGGCATATTGTATTTGTCCTTTTAAAATATTTGTATCAAATTATGAAGTTGCACAATTTACAAAATAAATAATACATTTCAAGTTCAATAACTAAGGTTTTCTTAAATAAGCAGAAAAACACGAGCATTTTCATCAAGTAATGCAGTAACATCTAGCATCTCCAATGTGGAAACCACTGCGCCTATGTGACTGCAATGTATTTCCCACCAAGCTCTCACAGAGTCAATACTCCCCCTGCCTCCAGGCAAATAAATGTTGAAACTGCTCCATTCACCTGTACAGGGAAACGAACCTACACTGTTGAAAAAATGGCTGGTGTAAGGCAAGCCCCAGGTGTCCTTTGCTGGGCTGGGATTAGTACCACCAGCTGTTGGAGGAGGGATTTAAGGGCATACCCCTACAAGTCAATCACTTTGGTCATTATTGGAGGTACTAAAATCCCCAAATAGCTGAATGCACTGTTTACTTCAGATGGCACCATCATTAACCTGCCCAAGGAGTTAAGTTACCTGCAAAAGAAAACTAGCTTAACAAGCAAAAAGTGTGGAAAGTCTGTTACATTTCTATTTGTAGGGACTCGTTCTTTTCTTCTCTTTAGTCTTTTCTTTTCCAAAGAGAAATATTAAAACATGATCTCACCAAATCTACTATCTGGACTGTTCTACCACCCCAACTTTCTATCACTTCATATATAGACTGAACATAAATGTAAGCCGCCCCGAGGCTTCGGCGAATGGGGCGGCATAAAAATGTTTTAATAAATAAATAAATAAATGAGTGAGTGAATGAGTGAGTGAGTGAAGATAAAAGTGCTACTGTATATATTCCACTGCTTGATTGAAAATTCATCCATACTGGCACTCCACAATTCCAGAATAGCCTGTTTTCTATGGCCACAAATTTCCACATCTTGTTCTGTGGTTACAGGTCCTCTAAATTATTTTCAGTGAGCTCTATCTAATATGCCTCTTCTGCCAGCAAAAAAACTTTGCTCCATATGCCCTCAAAATCTGCTCCAGAGGTTTAGGAGACCCTTTGGAATGGATTTGGGGATGGTGTGTTTTCAGATACATTTTACAACTTAGTTTAATGCTTACTTAAGGTACCCATATGCACCTGGTTCTTTCTATTCTATGACAACATCCAGAATAAATTTTTATACAGGAACCGTAAGTTATTTCATTCTGTTTTAAGACGGTATATGAAGCAAGAATGATTTCTAATAGAAGAATAGGAATCGGAATCCATAGTAGCATCTGTAGGTTTTACAGGTGTGCTATGGAGCTAGTGGCAACTGGAAACCCTCCTCAAGTGAAAAGTATACCTTGAATTGGTATTCCAGGCTTCAGAGGGTCCCAGATGAATTTATTTGTTCTAATATATTCACAAAGAGCTTCTTACACCTCATTTTCTATTATACAGATAGAAAATCTGTATTAATTATTGAACCTCACAGTCAATAATTTGTGAAGTCTGCTTTTATTCACTGTTTCCACATTGCTATTATTACTTTTGTACTTTATTTATTTATTTTTTGATTTATATCCTGCCTTTTTCCCACAAAGGGCTCAAGGCAGCTTACATCTCCTCCTCCATCTTATCCCCACAACAACAACCCTGTGAGGTAGGTTGGGCTGAGAGTCTGTGACTGGCCCAAAGTCACCCAGTTGGCTCCATGGCTGAGCAGGGACTAGAACCCAGATCATCTGAGTCCTAGTCCCATGCTCTTAACCACTATACCACACTGGCTCTTGGTGTATCGGTACATTAATTTTAGATTGTATTGGCATCTTGCATAATTTATGGAAAATCAAATGAATACAACACACAAATAAATATTTGGCATAGTACTTAAGTGATAAAGACTGTCTTTCCTCAAGGACCCTCTGAATGGAGTTTTAGGAGACTACAAATCTTGGAATACAAGCAGAGCATGGTATCTGTGACAAAGCTTTTATACAGTTATACATTGTCAGGTCCCCATTCTTTTTATTTCTCTATTACATCTGTTCAGTGATAATACATTATTTTTCTCAAGAATAAAGAATTGCCATATTCTTAGATCATACATATAATATGACCAAGCATTGTCATCATCTAAATAAAAAGCTAGATCTTTAACCTTACTATCCACCATTACCACCATCAAACTGATCAATACACTGAAGAACCCTCCAATGAGCAAAAAGACTATAAATCACTTCTTAAGTATTTGGCTCTGGAATGCACTATGAAGGACTCGGATAAGGGTGAAATACAGGCTGCTTCCTTGAGGATAGGACAACCAGTACTTCATCCAGGGCCCTTGCAGAACCGTCATATCTTCAGCCTCACAGAAACCTAAGAAATGTGAGGCTATTCTAAGAATGCAGTCAGCTTTCTCCAGGAGATCACAATTTATCACACAATTCCTTTCA